AAAAAAAAAAAAAAAAAAAAAAAAAAAAAAAAATTAATAAAATTAAAAAGAAAAAGGTGTGGCCTGGGTATGATGGCTCATTCCTGTAATCCCAGCACTTTGGGATTGTTTGAGGTCAGGAGTTTGAGACCAGCCTGGGCAACATAGCAAGACCCTGTGTCTACTTAAAAAAAAAAAGTGTACCTTTTATTTTAAAAAGGGGGTGATCACACAAATATATTTTATATATAAATTAGTATATTATCTAATATTTATATGTTTAATCTACCTTTTTCAAAATAATACCAGTATTATTACCAATAATATACTTATAAAAAACAGATTTTTTTTGCACTTTTTGTTCTTAAGATAAAAGGATAGTCATTTTAAGCCCACTTGAAAAAAATGTTTATCTGGGCACAGTGTTGTGTACCCTAATTTCAGCTACTTGGGAAGCGAGAGGCTGAGACGAGAGGATCACTTGAAACCAGGAGTTTGACTCCAAGAAGAACAACCCTAACTGCTGGGCTCAATGGTCCTCCTGCCTCAGCCTCCCGAAGGCTGAGGGAACTAGGACTATAAGCACATGCCACTGCACCCTCATTTCCCTATTATTAACATCTCATATTCATAAAATACATTGGTACAATTAATAAACCAACACTGATACATTATTGTTAACTCAAGTCTATATCCAGATTTCCTTAGTTTTTACATTATCTTTTTTACCTTAAAAATTTAAATATTATATACTATATCATATTTATATGCCACCACCTTTTTTTTTGGTTTTTTTTTTTTTTTTGAGATGGAGTCTCACTCTGTTGCCCAGGCTAAAGTGCAGTGGTGCAGTCTCGGCTCACTGCAACCTCCACCTCCCGGGTTCAAGCAATTCTTCTGCCTCAGCCTCCAGAGCAGCTGGGACTATAGGCATGCGCCATCACACCCAGTTAATTTTTGTATTTTTTTTAGTGGACATGGCATTTCACCATATTGGCCAACCTGGTCTGGGACTTCTGACCTTGTGATCCACCTGCCTCGGCCTCCCAAAGTGTTGGGATTGCAGGTGTGAGCCACTGCGGGCTGCCACCACCTTTTAAAAATAAAAGGCACACTTTTTTTTAGTTTTTGAGACAGGATCTTACTCTGTCGCTACTGGAGCGCAGTGGCACCATCTTGGCTCACTGCAGCCTCAACCTCCCAGCTCAAGTGATCCTCCTACCTCAGCCTCTCAAATAGTTGAGATACAGGCACTACCACGCCTGTCTAATTTTTGTATTTTTAGTAAAGATGGGATTTCACCATGTTGCCCAGGCTGGTCCCGAACTCCTGAGCTCAAGTGATCTACCTGCTTCAGCCTCCCAAAGTGTTGGGATAATAGGTTTGAGCCATTATGTCAGTGAGATACAGAATATACTTATTTATTTTTTTTCAAAGTCAGGGTTTCACCATATTGATCACGCTGGTCTCGAACTCCTGACCTCAGGTGATCCGCCTGCCTCAGCCTCCCAAAGTGCTGGGATTACAGGCATGAGCCACCGCACCCGGCCAGAATATATTTATTTACCTATATTTTTAAAACATGGAAGGGCGAGCACGGTGGCTCACGCCTGTAATCCCAGCACTTTGGGAGGCCAAAGTGGGTGAATCACCTGAGGTCAGAAGTTTGAGACTAGTTTGGCCAACATGGTAAAACCCTGTCTTTACTGAAAATACAAAATTAGCCACGCATGGTGGCATATACGTGTAATCCCATCTACTCCAGGAGGCTAAGGCAGAATGACTTAAACCTGGGAGGCCGAGGCTGCAGTGAGCCAAGATCACCCCACTGCACTCCAGCCTGGATGACAGAGCGAAACTCCGTCTCAAATAAATAAATAAATAAAATAAAAAATAAAACATGGAAGTGTAAACTAAAAACAATTAAAAGGGTTTCTACTCAGGGAAAGAGAAAAGCATGGAGAGGACATGAACAGAAGGTGTTTCTCTAACTGTACGTTTTTCCATAGCTTTGACTTTGGAACCATGCAAATGCTTTATAAATTTATGAAACAAATTAAATAAAACTTTAAAAACCAGTATATAGAAACAGATAGCATAATGAAACAAGTTAATTTACCCATGTTTAGTTAAACCGTCCAGAGACTTTTTTGGGTGGGGGGAAGAGGGGTACAGAGGACATCCTGCTGTGTTATCCTGGATGGAGTCTAGTGGCACAATCACAGCTCACTATAGTCCTTAACTCCTCGGCTCAAGCAATCCCTCCAGGTAGCTGAGACAACAGGCACGGGACACTGCACCTGGCTGAACGTTTTTTCAAGTGGGTTAAAAACCTCATATTTTGACTGTCCTTTTATCTTAACAACAAAAAAACTGCAAGTAAATCATAAACTGCTTTTTTATAAATTATGATTTTGGTAATAAAACTGGTATTATTTTGAAACAGGTAGATTTTTTTGTTGTTTTGATTTTCTTTGAGACAGAATTTTGTTCTTGTTGCCCAGGCTGGAGTGCAATAGCGTGATCTTGGCTCACTGCAACCTCCACCTCCCAGGTTCAAGTGATTCTCCTGCCTCAGCCTCCTGAGTAGCTGGGATTACAGGTGCCCACCACCACGCTCAGTTAATTTTGTATTTTTAGTAGAGACAGGGTTTCTCCATGTTGGTCGGACTGGTCTCAAACTCCCAACCTCAGGTGATCCGCCTGCCTCTGCCTCCCAAAGTGCTGGGATTATAGGCTCACATGAGACACCCCACACAGCGCAACAGGTAGACTTTTAAAATTTGAAATTTTTAATTAAAAATCAATAAAAACAAGGCCAGGCACAGTGGCTCATGCCTATAATCCCAGCACTTTGGGAGGCCGAGTCGGATGGATCACCTGAGGTCAGGAGTTCGAGACCAGCCTGGCCAATATGGTGAAAACCAGTCTCTACTAACAAGACAAAAAACTAGCCAGGCATGGTGACACGTGCCTGTAGTCCCAGCTACTCAGGATGCTGAGGTGGGAGAATTGTTTGAATCCAGAAGGTAGAGGTTGCAATGAGCCGAGATTGCACCACTGCAATCCAGCCTGGGCAACAGAGTGAGACTGTATCAAAAAATAAATGACAAATGAAAATAAATAAAAACAACAACATAATACTTTTAAAAATATAGCTTGTGAGACCAGGGAATTACTAGTGGAATGTTTAGAAAAAGAAAAGATAAAGCAGGTGTTCTAAGTGTCTCCAACCTAGTACAAGTATTTTCATTGTTAAGTCCCTTTGTTCACTCAAATACACATACACTCACACACGTACAAAGAAGCAGGGTTTTGTCTAATTATAAATAATCTGCCATGATGGGAGATGCAGGACAGCCAAGGGTAACAGAAAGCAGAGATGAAACTAAGCACACAGAACCAGACTTCACTTTCTTTCTTTTAATGGAAGGATGCAAAGAACTTCCTAACCACATAGGCCACAGGGCCACCAAAGGACTCTTTTTCATATCTAAGCTGATATGTCTTCCAATGTCCCCCAGGACAGGACAGGACAGGCCAGAAAGAGATAGTATGGGATCCTGTTGAGATTTGTCTATCACTTACAGCGAAGGTTTCTTGGAACAGCTATTCTAAAACTTGTTCAGGTTGCAGAACAAGCTTTTTGCAGAAAGCGATAATCATTTTGTAAAAATATGAACAATGATATGTGTAAGTCCCCTTCATAAACTATTTTTCTTACAGAAAAATTCCTGTATGTATGCAATACATAAAGTTATGATGTGTGTCCACAAAAACACAAATTATCAAACTAAGCGTGATTGACTATTTCTGGGCTTTTTTCAGCAATACTCATTTATGGTTCATTTGTTTTGTGGTCCCCTTCCGTGGAATCCAGTAGTAGTATGTGCCAAAAGTCCTATATAAACCTATGGGAGAAAATGAAAATAAAGGCCGGGTGCGGTGGCTCACGCTTGTAATCCCAGCACTTTGGGAGGCCGAGGC